CTAAACCCTAAAACCCTAAAGCTCCTTGAAGAACTTCACGGCTCCACCCTACATGGCACCAGGAGCCTGGCTCGACAGACCCAAACCCAGAGAGCCCAATTGTCCCTTAACTAAGGAACATACCTTTAAGGGTTCCTTAAAGGGATNNGGTTTAGGGTTTAGGGGAATTAAGGAATATACCGACAATAAACCGTAAATCATAATATTAAGGCCCCCATTATTTAAGGTATATTCCTTATTTAAGGGGTATTGGGCTCTCTGGGAACCTCCTCAACTTGCGACGCCAAGCGGCAGACACCAGATTGCGGGTTGCCTTCCGCACTTTTGGCTTCAGGGTTTAGGGTTTCAGGGTTTCAGGGTTTCAGGGTTTAGGGTTTCAGGGTTTAGGGTTTAAGGTTTAGGGAAAAGGGTAAAGTTTAGGGCTTTCTGGGTATGCAGCCAGATGGCACTTCACTTGGTCTGGAGGGGCTTTGGGGAGCTCCCCTCTATATTCCACACGCTCAGATGCCCCTACCAGCCATGAGCCTCGGTCAGCTCGCGCTTCTGCTTCTTCAGCTTCCTGGGTTGGACATTCGTTCTCCGCTTGTTTTGGTGAGTTTCTGGAGCGCGTCCCGCCGCATCTTCGGATTCAGCATGTTTAAGTGCACTCGCACAAGGCATGCCATGGCTCTTCACTTCTTCTGCTGCGACTTCTGCTCGTAGCAGTGCTAGTGGCGGCAGCAGCTGCAGGACAAGACTAGTCTGACTAGTCAGCAGTGAGTACTACGAACCTTGCGAACACTGAAAGCAACGGTAGCGGGCAGTGCTTGTCGTCGTAGTAGCAGCAGAAATTTTCGCAAAACGTCGCAGTGGCAATGGCGCATCGTAGGAGTGTTTACCTCCTAAGGAGACTTACGCTCTTTTTTCTGCCATGGTCCTCCTGAGAAGCAGCAGACAAAAATTGATGCGAACCCACTGTGCCCCAAGCGTCAAGCGCTGTGTCTCCTCGCATTCCACCGACGACTGCGGTGGACGTGGGACCCGACCCCATCCTCGGCTCAAGGAAATCATTCAGCAGTTTTAGGGTTTAGGGTTTAGGGTTTAGGGGTCTTCTTGCGGCGGTGCGAATTTCCGACCCCGAAACCCTCACGTTCTGCTACGACGCAGCGCCTTCAAGCGCTTTCACCCAAGGAGCCTTCCCTTCAATTTCAATCCCACTGCCTGCAACACAGGAAGCTCTGCAAACCCTGAGCCCCAAGCCCCGACCATAAAGAGCCCTAAACTCCTAAACTCTAAACCCTAAACCCTAAACCCTAAACTCCTAAACTCATTCAGGAACTGCTTTCTGCCGACAGCGAGGCGGCGCAATCCCTGTGAGTTGGTGCTCTCGTCGGAATTCCGCCGCTCCTGCTGGGTTGGAGCTTAGTACTGCAGGCCATGGAGAGTTCAGGGCCCCTTGCTGCGCGGTATCCTAATTTAGAGAACTTCCCATATCCTGAACCAACTACTGTACAGTTGGTAGAAACATGGAGAATCGGACAAATCGGTCTTTAACCAGATTTCCCTCACCTCCTGATAGCCACTGTTATGGCTTCTGGCGCTGTGCAGTGCATCCGCGTCCGGGGCGTCCATGGGACATGCGCAAGGCTGCAAATCCTTGGGATTTCCCCTTGTCAGACCCCGAGGTCCTTCTTACTGGATAGGCTGAACCATGAGTAGCAACTCTCCACGTTCTGCAAGGCGTCCGATCGGAGCCCTTGCGATTGTTTGGTGGCTTTCTTCAGACCTTTGCCCGTGCCCGGGCGCTTCAGTACAGCTTGGGTGCTGGACTTCAGATTGAACGCCCCATCATGGCACCTAAGCTTGTAGAACCACATGAAACGGGCAGCGGCTTTAGGCCTTGCAGAGATGCAACAAGCAAAGGAAAGCCGAAACTGGTGTTAATAATACCTGCGAGCCTGAGCCAAGTGAGAAGAGAGCGCATACCCAAAGCTCGACGCTAGATTTAGGGTTATAGGCTTAGGGATTCAACTTGCTGCCACAACCCGCAAAGCCCAGAAACCACCAGACCGTCGACAAGAGGCAGAAGAGGAAGGAGAACTCGCAACAGCAACGAGAAACGAGGAGGATGCTAGCAATAGGAGGAAGACAACGATCGCTGCAAGGAGAGACACACGCCGGACCGAACTGCCAACTAGACCCACTGGATCAACAGCAGAGGAGGTTCTCGAACCCAAAACCCCTCAAAAGCAAAGGATCATCACACATTTAATCGAAAGCGTCTTGAAATCTTTCATACACACACATACACCCGTCTGTTTGTGAAGAAGCCATAATCTTTAAGTATATAGCTAGCAGTATTCAGCAAGCCAAAGTCAAATCAAAATCTCCCTTAGACCCAAAAGGACCCCTCAACCTCTAAACCCTAACCTTTAGACCCCTCGACCCTAAATTAACCGTAAACCCCTAAACCCTAAATCCCGAAACCCCGAAGCCCTAAGCCCTACACCCTGAATCCCTGGCCCTAACCTCCCGGAACCCAGAGACTCCAATACCCCTTAATTAAGGAATATACCTTAAATTATAGTAGGATCCCTAATAAGATTTAAAGTATATTCCTCAATTAAGGGGTTTTGGAGTCCCTGGGAAGCCTGACCCCTACCCCTTTGGCCGCCTCTGGTGGGCGGCTCTCCGCAGAGCACCTGCCCTTGGTTCGCTCCCGGAGGGCCCTGGGCACACCATCGGAGAATACTCTGTATAAAGTCGGTTTAGGGTTTAGGGTCTAGGGTTTAGGGCTTAGGGTTTAGGGGTTTAGGGTTTGGTGTTTTAGAGATTAGGGTTAAGGGTTTTAGAGTTTAGTGTAGGAGGGCTTAGGGCTTTAGTCTTTGGGGGTTAGGGGTTTAAGGGATCAGGGACTACTGTGTGTGGTTATACTATCAAAACCGTGTTCTAGTGTCTTTCGGACTTAAATTAAGGGCTTCACAACATTCACGGCTTTCGGGGTTCAGGGGTTGAGGGCGTTGGTGGTCTAGGGCTTAGCCCTGGGGCTTGGGGAGTGGAGGGGTTCGGGATTATTAGGGTTGTGCAGGCTCGAGAGTTCAGCGATGAAGCTCTGGCGAAAGGATGGCACCGACGAAACCATCACAAAACATAGCAGCGCGAAGACTAAGAGTGATACGCAAGACTCGCATGATCTCGATGACAACACTAGCAATCAACGGCACTAAGGCAAGAAGAAGCCTGATATTCGTTGATTGGGTGGTGGTAGGAACGCAGAGTCATGATCTTGAAGTTTAGAATGTATTGAGCGACTGTGGACGGCATGGCATGATCGAGGCATGATGTAACGACGTTTAGATGCTGAGCCTCCATGCAGTTTCCGATTCCTTCAAACCAAAGTGAGAAGCTGCTGACCACCAATCCCTGCGATAAGGACCTCAAAATCCTAAACCCCAAACCTCTACCTAAACGGAGACAGAGATGCCGAACTCAACAACCTGTCGGGCCATTCCCCGCCAAAAAAAAAAACGAATCAACCCGTCCGCGCCCGCTCACCACGCCAGCAGCTCGGGCACGCGAGGTCTCCTCCCCAAGGACATCCAGCAGAAGAATAATTGGGGCAGTTGTGGGTTCCATTTCTCGGGCCTTCAACCCTAAGCCCTAAACCCTAAACTCTACTCGTTGCAGACTTTAAAAGAAAGTCTCAGCACCGTGGAGCTCATGTCCCGAAGACCGGGCCAGGTCTCCGAGCTTTTCGTGGCTTTCTGCCAAAACTCGCACATGGCCAGGAACAAACTACCAGGTATAATATACGATGAGAATGCTATAAGAAACGATAAGATATCAATGCACAAATCTTATACTAAAAGATACCATAATATACTAAAGGATATTATTAGATACCTGTAAGATACCCAACAAGCTCTTTCATCCACTCGAAATCCCGGGGCTCTCCGCAGCTCGTCGGTATTGACTTGCATCCATCCTTGGCTGAGTGGAGCATGCATGGCCAGGCGCCTTCTGCAAAAACCCTCAACCCTAAACCCTAAACCCTGAACCCTAAACCCTAAACCTGTGGAAGCTTCAGGGCGTCAGACTTGGAGGGATTTTTATTTTAAAGCGCCTTTTTTCCGCCGCAAAATAAAAACAGATTCAGACTCGGAGGGTTTGGGATTTAGGGCTTTGGGGATGGGGATTTAGGGCTTTTGGCTGAGGGCTGAGGGTTTGGTGTTTAGGGCGTGGGGTTTAGGGTTTTTTTTTTTTAACACCTTTTTCCGTCTGTCAGAGCATCTTTCAGTCGGAATCCGCGGGTTTAGGGTTTAGGGTTTAGGGTTTGGCGTTTAGGGTTTAGCGTTTAGGGTTTAGTGTTTAGGGCTTTGGGCTTAGGGTTCAGGGAGGTCTCAGTAGTGGCCGGTCACCTTCCCCACCTTTTTCAAGAGGAGCGAAAGAGAGGGGCGGTTGACCGGATACATGCCTAGAAGGCCTATAGAAGCACTGCAATATAGTCTAATACACAATGCTATACTACAACTTGTTGAATATACTCTGAGATGCTATAAGATACTGCAAGGCACCATAAGATACGATAACACTAGAACATACCAAAAGATACTGCAAGATTCGACAAGATTCCATAAGATACTATAAGAGGCACTATACTGCTCCATTTACATGTCACAAAAATCTCCTGAAACATGCTATAGCATACAAGGAGACCCTAAACCCTAAACCCTAAACCCTAAACCCTAAACCCTAAACCCAAGCAAAGGCCCCGGCCAGGACATGGTGGAGGCCGTCCGCGACCAGGGAGGACCTAGGAGGCTCCGGACTCGGGGTCATTGTAGGCATCGCATCTCTTATCCGCTGTCTCATGGGTATCTTAGAGTTATCTTATGGTATCTTATAGTATGTTTCTTATGGTATCTTATAGTATGTTTCTTGTGGTATCTTGTAGTATGTTTCTTATGGTATCTTATAGTATGTTTTGATGGACTATAGTATAGTACGGTATCTTACCTAGTAGTCAAGACTGCATTGTGGCACAGAAGGGTTTTCCGGCTCGAAGAAGTCCGCCAGTCTGTCTGCCTGACGGTCTCTCTATCTATCTACCTACCCATCCATCAGTCCTTCCGTCCGTCCGTCCGTCCATCCATGCGTGTGTATACATGTACATACACATGCATACAGAAGGGTCGATCCGGAGGCCTGCGTTTGCGCACGAGGCTTTCTGCACTTAGGTGCTCTTCGTGTGCTTGCGCATGCACGTGTATGTTTCTTGCTTCTGATTATCCTTACGTTTATGCTTCCACGCCGGCTAGCCGGTCTTTCGCTAAGTTCATGTATGTTCACAGCTGGGCAGACAAGCCTATTTAGAGGTGTTCGCTGGCTGGCACTGGGTTGCTTACGAGCCTGAGTTGATGAGCTTATCATGTTTCAGCCTGCAGTGCACAGTATCATGTTATAGCATCTTATAGTATATTTGTTGTATAACATCGTGTATGATGATTTATTAGACTGGCGAAATGGGGCAGGATCTTGGCTGTTGGGCCTGGGAGTCTCGGATGTTGGGCAGGGTGTTGCTGTCGAAAACTAGCTTCCGCCATACCATCACCCCGCTAACGTCACCACCAACCACCAAGTCTACTTGCTCTGTGCTTGCTTGTAATACCGGTGGCTGCTGGAGTCAATCTTGAACTAGCTGCCCTAAACACTAAACCCCAACCCCTCAACCCCAAACCCCAAACCTAAACCCTCAACCCCAAACCCTAAACCCTAAACCCCAAACCCTCAACCCCAAACCCTAAGCCCTAAGCCCCTAAGATTCACTTCAGGGCTAGAAGCCAAGGCCCCAAAAAAGCACATAGGCCCAATAAGGCAGAGATATCCGTATAAGATGCTTAGGCTTATGTCCTTTTTGGGCCCTAAACCCTAAACCCCCTAAAGCCACAAACCCTAGACCCTAAGCCCCCTAAAGCCCTACAGCTCCCTGAAGAAGAGGGTCCCCGGACCACCGCCCTCCTCGATGGCCACCCGAGGCCTCCGGGTTCGGAGCTTCGACGTGAACGGAAAATCTCCGAGCCCACAGGCATCAGAGTATACTATAGTAGAAACACCGTATAGTATAGCATATCCTGGCATGCTATAACATATTGTGGTATATTGCCGTACATTATAACAGGTTATAACATATTATGATATGTTATAGCTATTTGCTGTACTATGGTTTTTCCACCTTTGTAATATATATTATCCTGAAATCCCAGCGCATCCCAGCGCCTGGGGGAAGGGAAGATCTCCGGCTCCGGCGAGAGGAGGTCGGGCCGGCTGGGAGCCTGAGAAGCGCACAGGGCAGGGCCTGGGGAGGGCTTCGGGTCTAGGGCTTGAAGGTTTAGGGTTTAAGGCTTGAAGGTTTAGGGTTTAAGGGTTTTTGGCTAAGGGTTGAGGGTTTTGATTTTGGTTTAGGAATTAAGGTTTCGGCAGCTGCAACTCGCAAACGGGCGGTGAGGGGCACGTCTTGTAGCATGTCCCTCAGGCACCCTCGTAGCACTTCTTCTGGCCCCTTTTAGAGTACCCCTCCTTCTCCAAACCCTACACCTTAAACCCTAAACCCTAAACTCTAAACCCTAAACCCGAAACCCTAAACCCTAAACCCTAGACCCTAGGAATGACTTTCCATTTGGCCTCGAGGGAAAACGCAGAGGGGTTCCAAGGCCTCGGCTTGGGCAGTCCGCCCCCGGAAGCTCCGGACCTCTCCGGACCAGGGTTTAGGGTTCAGGGGTTTAGGGTGTAGTGGTTTAGGATTTGGGGTTTAGGGTTTAGGGGTTGAGGAGTTTAGGGTTGAGGGTTGAGGGGTTTTAGGGTTTAGGGGTTTAGGGTTGAGGGTTGAGGGGCTTAGGGTTTTCTTTTCAGGGTTTAGGATTCAGGGTTTAGGAGGGTTGAGGGTTCATGCGAGGAGGGGAGGGGCTGAGGTTAGGGATGCACCTCAGAAACCGTGCCTCTTCTTCATAGACAACCTAACACAATCTGATACAACATGACAGAACATGGTGTGGCAAAAATAGAACATCACTTAGCGTCATACCTCTCAAGTGCTGTAAGGGACCCTCAAGGAGCCCGAAACGAAAAAGGAGCCCTTAAAGAAAACCTTCAAGTTTTAAGGGAACCCTTAACGGAGCCCTTTAAGGAACCCTTAACGGAGCCCTTAAAGGAGCCCATGAGGAGCCGTCAAAAGACCCTCCTTGCCTCTGCCGGGCCCGGTCTGAGCTCCGCCGAAAGATCGCCCGAGGCCTCGGGCAGCAAGGGGCTGCTTTAGGGCGTTTTGCTATGGCCTTTAGGGCCCCTAGGGCCTTTGGGGCCTCGGGCCCTTAGGGCCTCTAGGGCCTTTAGGTCCTTTAGGGTTTCCGGGGTTTAGGGTGTAAGCATCCATGCCAGAGCAATCGGTGGCACAATGGGACGTGGTCGGTGACGCGCAGAGAGTGATGGGTTTTTTTCCAGGGTTTAGAGATTTGGGTTTCGCAGGGCTCGATGCCGCCGTGACAACGGCTGTAAAGGGCCTCAGGCTTCTTGGAGCTTTCAAAGACAAGTCTTGCAAAAGGCTCCGGGGTAAGCTGGGGCCTTCAGCGCCTTCGCATCATCAGAGGCGACTTGTAAAGCTAGGAAGCGCGCAGATTCTGGGGCAGGGTATGACCGGTCCGACATGCCAACACTACCCATGAGAGATGAAACCATACTAGGAATAGTTGCCACACCTAGCATCCCGCGGATGGCATCATCACCAGCACCGTCATCTTAGACTCATCGATGGACCCAAAGCCTGAAGCAGCCCCAAGGCTCCCACCTGGCTGGACTGGATGCTGCCTGGCCCGGGCGGGAGCGCTTCTGCGCCCCGGAAAGAAGGCAGCGCCATGTGTCGTCGCAACACTCTGACGACGCCATAAATGCCGGAGACCTACATACCCCTATACCCTAAACCCTGAACCCTAAACCCTAAACCTCATCTTCACCTCCAGTGGCCTTCGGGGTCCGCAACAAACGCGCACAAAAAGCAGCCGACAGGTCGACCACAGCAGCAAAAGAAGCCACTGGCAGTCGGGGCTCCAACGACTTCTGCAACGTCACGAGATGAGTACGACCAGCATCACACGAGCGTGACTTCTAAACAAGTACTCTTGGCTTAAACTTTTAGCCTAGATGTTATAGTTGATATAGAAACCCCAAAAGTTAAAGTCTAAAGAGCCAACCAGAAGAACGCCAAGAAATGGTCATAGTGTCAGTAATAGTAACATGCTTCTTATAGTCATATGAAAATAGTATTCGTAGCTACTCCAGCGATGCTGGAAGCGATCGCAGCCTCGTTGCGGAAGTCGGGGCTCCAGGTCATCCAGGCTGGCCTAGCCAGGATTGTGGACTTCCAAGGCTCTGAAAGCTAGTCGTACCTGTGGATTGAGACGTCGAGCCGTGTCTGAAGGACTCATCAAGACTCGACGAGAAACATCATGGCATAGCTCAACAGCACCACAAAGACTGCATGACGTCCAAACACCACGAAGGAGTGACAACAATCATGGAAACGATACGGCAGTAGGCAATGTGACATGAGCATAACGGTGGAGCAAGTGATACGTGGAGCAGCAGCTATGGCCTCGCTGATGTTGGCAGCACTGAGGACAAGGGCGCTTATTATGAATAGCAACAGCGACAGCAAGAGTAAATCGCAAGAACCTCAAATACCCTTGACTGATTCGTCGAAGATGACGGAAGAAAGTCATGATTAGCGACTAATTGCAAAACACCATATGCTATGTAGGCTTTCTATATATATATATATATATGCTATGTATGCTACATGATACTGCTGTATGTCTACATAGACTACACATACATATGTCTGTATGCATGTGTATGCGTGCAGACATGTACGCACACATGTATGTACAGGTGTGTTTCATACATTTTAGTGTATATAATATATACATGCGTATATATATATATACATACACATATGTATGTATTTACTTGTCTACCTAGTTAACTATCTATCTATTTAGTTACTTGTTTATGCTTGTTTCTGTAATCTCTATGTGTCTATTTATATACATATATAGAAATATATGTCCTTGTGGGACGAATACATGAGTTTGAAGAAGAGACTTGGCACTATCATCAGTAACAACAGCAGGAGCCGCAAAGGCATCCCAATAACAAAGCAAACCAGATGAACCCGTCACAGTGCTGCTCGTAATGACAGCCAGCACCGATACCAATGGCAACAAACACGATACTGGCATCATGATAGAGGTGGTTTCCACTAGCTGCTAGTGGTGCTACAACAACCATAACCATGCCAACAACAATGAGAGGTTGCTGGATGCCCGACAACACAGAAAAAGACAGCGAACAGTATCGAACGGTAGATAAACGTGGAAGTCAGGGATAACAACAGTGCAGATATCATACTGTGTTTCTATGATCAAGACAGAATCAAGGCAGCAGAAAGACTTTGACAGCTAACCACAATAATGCAAACATCTACAACAATCACATGACAGGTATAGCTAGAGCAAGCATTCGCCCTTTCAGCATCATTGCTGCCGCTATCATCAAAAACGCTTACATCGAATGCATCACCAAATAAGATAGGAGCAACAGAAAGTCCAAACAGAAAGCCCAAACAGAAAGCCTGACAACAAAAGCGACGAACCCAAAAAAGGGTGGAATCAAGATCGCAAGAGATGTCACTATCACAACTTGAAACACAGACAATTGGACATATCAACACCGAAATATTTGGTAATCGCCGCAATCACCAGAAGCAGCACCAGCCTCAGCAGCCATGCAGTACTCAGCGCAAGCCCCATTATCAGCATAAGGACCACCTTCAACACCCAAAACATATCTGAACATCGCGATTATCATGACCACCTGTCATCCCTATCCCTGTCATCATCTTTAAGAACAGAAGCCTGGAGGAATCAGCACTGAGCAGCATCTTCAGCATCGTCATTATCGTCATCATCTAATCGAAATCATCATTCCCACCATGCTTGCAGCCTTCGTGTTCCATGTTATCATCGGCTTCTCCCTCTATGTCGTCGTTATCATCATGGTACACCCAGACTTTGTGTTGCTCGAGATCCCTGAACACAACGAATGGCCTGTCTTGCACGCGCAGATGGAAACTGCCGGCGCATGCCCTGCCTCGCTGGGGGTTTTATTAGGGTTGAGGGTTTAGGGCTTATATAGGGGTTGAATTGGGGTTTAGGGTTTACGTAGGAGCTTAAGTAGGGTTTAGGGTTGAGGCTTTTTCTACTTTGGCGAACGCACTGTGACAGCATCTGGATTAGAGTCCGAATTCTGCGAGATAGCTACCTCATGTCCCAAGGCTAGATCCCGCAAGACATCATCTTGTCCGTCGTTACCCTAAACCCTAGACCCGAAGCCTCGCACCGTTGTCAGATTCCCCCAAGCTCCCCTAAACCCTAAACCCTAAACCCTAAACCCTAAACCCTAGACCCGTTGTCAGATTCCCCCAAGCTCTCTGGGGCCCCCTGCTGTGACCGGCAGCGGCCCTGTCCAGCCGAATTCCTCGCTGTGGGCTGTGGTCTCAGATTTGATGTATCTTGGGGTCTGCCGCAAAGTATCTTGTGGGTTTAGGGTTTAGGGTTTAGGGTTTAGGGTTTAGGGTTTAGGGTTTAGGGGGGGTCTTGTGGAAAAGATTGAAAAACAGGAAGAATAGCACGGTCATCATCATGTGCATCACATCCAGCATCAGCATGATCATCCGCAGCATCGGCATTCCGGTACCGGCAGTCACACAAGATAATACCCAACTACCGGCATCGTCAATCTGATGAAACAAAGTCGACTCTGCCCTCGGAGACAAGCTGGGCGCCGCGCGGGTGCCGCTGGCAGATGTCATCCTCCTCCCGAGGCGCGTGCAAATACATGTACCACTGACATCATCACCACCATCACCAGCATGATACATACGGGCGACTCCCTGGTATTGCTACTTCATTTGCTGCTCTTGCGACTGACGAAGCACTCGCGATCGCTGATGCACCAAAGATCGTCTTGGAGCCTCCGCGCCAAAGCTCCGCTTCCCGTGAGAGGACTCCCGCCAGGTGCGCCTGCAGAGACAGAGGCACGGAGAGGTCTCCTGAAAAGCCTCCGAGAAAGTTGGCTTGGAGCAACGACCCTCCATGCAGCAGAAGCACGTAGAAGCCAAAACCACGAACCCAAAGCCACGAGCCATAAACCCGAAGACCGTGAAACTGCCAAGAGCCGAGACGATTGCAGGATTTGGGTGGAGCTCCCTTGTCACCTCCCTGCCGCCCCGTCGTGCAAGGATCCTTGGAGACGGGCTCATCCTACCAGCACCAATCCCTTAAACATGCTTCAGAGTTGCAGATATGGAACCATTCACTTCCTGATGGCATGGTGATGCTCACCTCATTTTATGCTAAGGGGCGGTTTCTATAAGGCTCACCAGATCATGCCTGCGAGCGGAGAACTCCTTCTGATGTGCGTCTAACTCTGCCGTGGCTCGGTAGCTGTTCGGCCGCTGAGCCTCTTCTGCGTCACCTCGCACCAAGCTCAGCCAGAGAGGTGTGCTTATGCCTGGAAGCATCACCACACTCCGAAAAGCCTCGGCGAAAAATCTTGGGCAAGCCGGTGCGAGCAGAACAATCTTCAAAGCCACGGGTTGAAATCAGCTCACTCAGCTCCATACAAAAGTGCTTTAGAGAGGTATAGAGAGGTGTCGTCCCAACATGAAGGGTTTAGAGCTGTTAGAGCTCAGCTTATCGTCACCAACTTCGGTCGCCGCCTTGCCACAGCGGGGAGGCCTGCCCGCGAGAGCTTGGGGACTGAGGAGCCGAACTTTTAAGGGATGCAACGACCGACACTGCAGGACACTGCCATAAACCGGGCCCCATATTCAAGATGCAGGGGGCATATCGAAGCGGTGTCTCGGACGGCTATCTGGCCCCTTTTTCCTGGGCTTGGGCCGCTTGGCTTCCCCCCGTCCCAGTCCCCGTCCCAACCTCCTGGATGCGGAAGTGGCCCTCGGAGGCACCACGGATGACCCGGATGGAGGACCTGCTTCCATGGCAGGTGGCACCAAAAACGCGGGCAAACGCAGGCCCTTGAAAGACACTTCCGCTCCGGGGCCTTGTCGCCTCGATGGCGGAGGATTGCGAGGAGGGGCTCTCGGGCTCGCTGCGGCTGGCGCGGCTGGCGCGGCTGGCGCGGCTTCGGGTCGCTAAGCCCAAACCCGCGTAGCCCTGGAGGTCCCAGAGCGTGGCCACCTGCTTCGAAGACGCCTTGTCTCGAGAATCGCTTGGCTGGCCTGCGCAGCCCTCCCAGAAAAGGGGGCCCTCCTCTTGAGCCTCCGCCCCGGAAACATGCGAGTTCTGAAACAAGAGCTCACCCACCACGGTGCTGGAATCAGAGAGGCCTGGAACTCGCTTCCGCGCCCGCGGCGTGTACCTGTCGGTCTCGGTCGCAGACCGAATAGAGATGCTGTCGTCCTCAAAGCGGGTGGCAGGAGAGACGGGAGATCGGGGTGTACGACGACCCTCGCCAGAGGGTGACGTCGGGCGACCCGCAGAGACACAGCCCGGCAGATTGAGGCCCGGATCCACGGAGCCCGGCCGCGTGCGCCGCCGCTCTGGGCATGCAGGGTTGCCGAAGACCACGGCGCTGATCAGCGAGCTGTCGTGGTGGTCCCGGTGGGCCTGGCCCCCCCTCTGGCCCCAGTCCTGTGCCTCCTGGGGTGTCATGGCACAGATCGGGTACAAAGCGGCTCGCTCCCCGATCGCTTGCTCCCACTCGGCCACCAAGGGGCTCGAAGGCCCACGGCCCTGTGGCTTTGTGGTCGTCCGCGGCGTGCGGCTCGGGACGCCCAGGTACGCCAAACAGGTCGGCAACCTGGGCTCCGAGCTGGCCTTGGGAACTTTCGCTTGGATACCGCTCAAGCCGTCCGTAAACGATGATCTCAGGGACGCCGAGGAAGCAGACACCGCAGACAAACTCGCAGTTGGCGGCTCCGGCGGAGGAGGCCGTCGCTCCATCGGCCGCTGCTCCCTCACAGCCTCTCGCGGAGCATGGGAGGGCTCATGGAGGCTGGGGCGGCGCGAGCTCCGTGCCACGGCCTGGCAGGAAAGGCTTCAAAGCAAGAGATCTTCAGAATTCAGAGAGAGAGAGAGAGAGAGAGGCAGAGAGAGAGAGAGAGCGAGCCCGAGCCTGCTGTGCGCTCGAGCTCCTTTGTGGCACTCCTGGCCGCGGCCTTTCCTGGCTCTGGAGTGTTTGAGGGCGAGGGCCGGAGGCCACCGGTGACCTGCTCGAGACGAGGAGTACAAAGCGCTCACTTTCCTCTCCGCATGGTTTGCCCTCCATGCACGCAGGCTCCATTCCCTGCACGCCTTTGCCGCGACTGAGCAGAAGCCGGGGACGCCAGTGGAGGCGTTTGGACAGCCTTCTTGGCTGCTCCCGCACTCCTGCCATTGGCGGTGCCCCTTTGTTGAAAAGATCTGCTCCGTCTTCTGGGCAAGCCGGAAAGAGATGCAAACGAAGCCCACCCCGTTTACCGAGAGATGGACTGCAGCCCAACCATAACGACCACCACCCCCATGACCATGACCACGACCACTGCAAAAGTACGACCCCACTACGATTAAAAAAGGCGACGACGACGACGACGACCACCACGACGACTGGGCCCATGTGCCACGGTCGCCGGACACAGCCGAGATCTTGAAAATATTCCACAATCCTTGCTGTGCGATTCCTTTGCTCCAGATGAGCTCAGTGCTCCTTGGCGGCCCACGCGGCGCAGTCTTTGGCGCCACAGTCCGCCTGAAGCAAGGCACGGTCGAATAGGTCCCGCACTGATCTGTCATCGACAAGCAGGCAGACACTCAAATCCCCTTCGTAGGCATCGGGATTTCAACACGCCTGTCAAAGTCCCAAATCATCTGAAACATCGGAATGGCGGAGCATGGGAGTCCTAAATCAGTCTAAGCTTCGCGCTCAGGCGACTGCTTCTGCTTTGGAGCAGCTTTGCCTCGGGCAGCGTGGCGTGTCTCAAGGATGCCAGTGCTGGGACTCTTGTTGCTCTTCTGTCCCTCTTTCGGATGAAATAAACAACAACTGCATTCACCGTACATCTCGTCTAGTGATGCTTGCTTCAGTGACTCACACTCGTCGTGGCCCGTCGCAGGAGGAGTGGCAGCCGCAGCTGCCGCCCCAGCAGAAGGTACACAGATTCTAGTGCTGCGACAGACCATGTCATTAAGGCTCATGAGGACGTAGCAACATCGCGGTGCAGGATCAAGAAAAGAACACAAACTCCTAGAGACTATGGCGGCGGATGTCGCAAGGACGTCATTTGGCTGTACCAAACCTTTCAACTCAAACCCTTCTTGGCCGCTGAGACGAGGCGAGCTGCCCGCAGGCCGACCCGGCCGGTTTTTCAGCGCTGAGCCGCCTGACAGGGTCGGCTAGGGGGCCTTGCTAGATATAGATACGGATATAGATCTAGGCCGGGTGTGCGCCATGAACCCTTGACGTAGACTTGCACTTTCGGACTTTGTGCATATGGACGCACATGCGAACTTATTAAAACCACGGCTAGCCAACACAGATTTAGGGCTGCCGGATCAAAATAATTGAAAAAGATCAAAAATACAAACTTTAGGATCACAAAAATAAAAAGGAATCAATAAATGAATAGAAAGCGAACCCGGGCTGTCACGGCTGTAAAACTGTTGCTGCGCGCCACAATCCTTTGTTTTTCGGAGGTGCGGCCAAGGACTTTGTTCAGGTCTGCAGCCTGGTTTTCCCTCAAGCTACTGGGGAATTCGTGGGGCTTGGTCTTCTCTAAAAAGGAAGCTCACGATGCAGGGCCAGGGTCGAATGTGGCAGCGATGGCTACGGCAGGCAGACTGTGAAGACGAGGACAAATTCTGAGAAGGTCCACATGGGTTCTGTGTTTGCTGCGAAGATGATACCTGAAGCGTTCTTGCACAGCTTGAAAAAAACGCGGGCGTTGGGGGCGACGCAGCCCCCCATTTGCAAACAGATTGCCTGTATGATGACTATTGTAAAGCTTGAAGACAAGTATGTGCTTGATGCAAGTCTTGTTCATGGGGCGATGTTCTGGAAAGCAAGCCTGCACGGCTGAAAAAGAAAGCGCGGCGGTTGGGGGGCGGCGCCCCCCCCATTTGCAAACACAACGTCTGTATGATTCCGAAATTAGGGTCCATATGGGTTCTGTCCTTGCTGGCAGGACGATACTTGTAGCGATCTTGTGCAGCTGAAGAGAATCTGCGGGGGCTAGGGTGGACACAGCCACCCACTTGCAGACAGAATGCCTTGAAAAGTTCGATGACAATTACGTGTTTGACGCAAGTCTTGTTGATGACGGCTTAAAATAAGAAAGCAGGGGGGGGTTTGGTTATGTTACTACTTGTTCACAACAAGCGCACCTGCCTCTTGTGGATACGGTTTTCCTTCTGCCTTCCTGTCTGTACTTCTTTCTTTTGCTGCGTCGTGCATTTGTTATTGCTTGTGTTTTTTTTCTGTCTGTCTTTCTGTCTTTATTTATGGTTTTGTTCCGTTCTTTCTTTATTTATGTATTTATTTCTTTCGCTCTTTGCTTCTCTCTTCCTCTCTTTATTAACTTTCTTTCCGTTATTTCGTTCTTTCTCTCCTTCTCTCTTTCTTTATTTGTTTATGGCTTTCTTTCGTTGTTCTTTCTTTCTGTCGTTCTTTCTTTCCTTCTTTCGGTCTGTTTGTCTCCGCTCCCTTCCATCGCTTTGCTTTGCTTTCGATACGTTTTTTGCATTTTTGTTTTTGTTGATACATTTGTGTTTTTTGTTGATGCCTCTCCCATGAGAGGGCCAGGGGACCAGAGGACCAGGGGACCCAGGAGACCACAGGACCAGGGAACCAGGAAGATCATGAGCCTCTACTCTAGCCTTTGATTGAGCTTTTATGTTTTTTGATCCTTTTTTATTCTGTATTGATCTCTTTTTATTTGTTTTTGATCCTTTGTATTTTTGTTGATCCCTATCCCCAGATTTAGGGGGTGGAGACTTTCAGATCCGACTTCGGCTATCACGTCGAGGGCCTTGCATGTGGTCCGAACATTCATGCTTTGAACGGCACTTGGGCTTTGAGGGTTAGGGCTTTGGGGTCGAGGCTCCTTTGAAGGGCAGAGAAACGAAAGCGCTCTCGCGCGTGGCCGGACTGGTGCATCTTTCCTCCGACTCCGATTGGGCCCCTGCGCGAAGGACCGGAGGATTTCAGTGCTCTTGGGATACAACCCAAGCTGCGATGCCACCTCTCGTGTGTTATTCATGATTTCAAGAACCAAGCCAGGCAGCTCCGCCACTTTGCCCAGAGATGGGCTTTTGGCTCGCAGTTGCGAAGCTTCGAAAGGGCTCTGATACCGGCCATCCCAGCTGTCCAAGACATGGTTAGTTCCGTATGGATGGGGTCCTGGAGCAACGTGTTGAACATCTGCTGACCCCTTGCGTCGCTTGCCTGACTTCCACACGACATGAGTAGCAAGCAACAGTGTGCTGAATCTGAATTCCATAGTTGCGGGTTGAGCTTGCGATATGAGAGTGATTCCGTGATGCTTGAGCGTGCGGGCTTCGTGTCGGCTTGGGCCTTGGGCTGGAATCCAGGTTCTAGTAGATGCACTTTGGCTTCAGGGGATTCCTCTCGGGCATGCCGGTGGAAGGTTCAGCGAACTGCCTGGCACATCGTGGGCCCAGATCCTCAAGAGTCCAAACAAATGCAGGTTCGAAGGCCTGTCGCTGGCGTAGGGGTCGGCTTCATCTGGCATCGCAGGAAGGAGATTATGATGAGGCTTTCGTCACTTTTACAAGCCCTTCTTGCAGAAATCTCGAGGCCTAGGGGCTGCACCTGTTGCAAAAGCTTGGGGAAGACAGCGCGAAGGCTTGACTGCCAGCAGAGGCTTCGGAAGCTGAACTCTCCACCCAAGAATCCCCCTAAACATTTTAGGGGTTTGGGTTTAGGGTTTAGGGGTTTAGGGGTTTAGGGTTTAGGGCCTAGGGCTTAGGGTGGGCCTCAGACCAGAAGACTGGATTCCGATCCCGGAAACCCTTCGAAAAACGGTGCGTCCCGTCCTTTGCATTCACAGGCCGCACCGGCACGTGCGGCACGCCTTTCCCGGTGCCTCCTTCGAAAAATCTCGGGCTTGGGGGATCCTACGAGATGCCCTCTTTGCCTACGGCAGACTAACTGGGTAGTTCTCTAAATTAGGGTCCCTTTTTGGGTCCCAAATATAGTACGGCACCCTTATAAAAGGACCCTAGACAGGGACCCTAATTTAGAGAACTACCCAAATGCTGATGCCAAAGCTACGTTCTGCCCGACGGTAAGACACCGAGAGACGCCTGCGGTTCTTCTCGAGCTCGGATGGGAGGTTCATGCAGAAGCCTAAAACGGTAGCATCCCTGGTTTAAAGGATCCCTAGATAAGGGACACCAGTTCATCCAAAAGGGTCTTCGTACTGATTCATACCGTCTTCTCAACTCCAGCCTGATCTCGCATTGGCCACCGGCGCCATGCAAACGGCTGCAACGCACGGCTGCTCTCTGTGAAACCAACTGAGACCCTGAAACTCAGCAAAAACCCAGCGCTGGCCTTTGGAAGGAATACTGCAGTTCTGCTACTAGCGAAGGGCTTCGAACCCGCGACATCCTTCCGTGCTTGCCTATGCCAAGGGCCATGCAGTCCTGTAGAGTATCGCTCTGATTCTGTATGTCACTGTGCACTGCTACACATTCGCCGCCAAACCAAACAGCTAACTACCTCCTAGAGAAGCGGTGACAACTCCTGCCCAACCGGAGATCGAGGTCTCTTCAACCTTCTGTGCCATCACTGCTGCTTCAGCTGCTGTTGCTACTCCCAGCCGACTTCTGCATTACCTACTGCCCCAACAGCTCTGAAGATGGCGACATGTACAACTCGCACTGTGAAACTTCCTACTAGCACTGTTGCAACTTGTGCCGGACAACCCGGAACATGACTCCTGCAAGTACGGCTAGAGCTTTCAACACTCATCTTCTCGTCGCGGATGTCGTCATCATCGTCATCATCCACTGCTGCTTATAATAGATATGTCACCGGCACCAAGACTGACCAAGCTTGGTGCTTATTCTTACTACGCCGTCCCGGGTGCTTCTCATCTTGCTGCCCATGCAAAGACTGCTTGCTTCGTGCAAAGACACTGATAGCTTCCACATATTCCAATGATAGCTTCGCTGAAACCCTTATGCATCTTATAGGGCAAACCATATCCAATCCTGACCGTGGCGACATGGCAAGCAACAACCACATCAATCCCTAATACAGGCAGCATGAAGACAGACAGGGGCAAGGATGGCCATGGAAGCGGCAAACTAGAAACGGAAACAGCAGCGCGCAGCTGTCACCAGAACCAGAAACACGTCAAAAACTGAAATCAGTAA